TCTAAAATATTGTCTCTTGGCTTTTTCCCTCCGTATCGATTTCCTCCAATTTGATTCGAAACAATAAGTAGTATCAGAGCTAGGTTTAGCTACCGATGATATATCATTGTGGAGAAGCCAAGTCTATCAAAAGTGAAGTTGAATAGCTCAATTGGTTAGAATGTTAACCTAACAACGCACAGGTTGCAAGTTCAAATAGAAGACAATGCAAAGTGGGGTCCATCTTGGGTAGGCTTACTCACTCCTCCGGGAACTTACAACTTTATGTCTTTGAAAAAGATCTCACAATCACTCATAACAACCACAATCACTTATACCTCCTTAGCTCATGCAATGGAGGGAAACTAATGCGTTCAAAGTAGGTTCATGGGTCAAGCAGTTCGCATATCTATGACTCGGTCTACCTCAACTCTACTCGATCATTCTATCCATCATCTTAAGAATTTGAAGTAGGTTCATGGGTCAAGCTTTGAAAACCTCAATTACTTAATTCAACCATAATTCTCAACTTTCTAACTTTCTAACTTCCTTCGAGATGACTTGCTTTCTTCTTGCTTTCTTCTTTTAACGTCATTTTCTTTCACCCTGACACATGATTTTTGTACTATGGACTTTGGTCCACGGTTCTGAGATCTTAAGTTTTTGGTTCTTGGTTACTGTCCCTTAGACACTCCTTCAGTGAACAACTCAATCCTGACCTATGCTTGAGGCTTCATGCGTCTCCACAATATAGTCCGATACCTGCATCTAAGGCTTCATGTGTTCCTTGTGATACAATCTACATACCTATGTCTAGGGCTTCATGTGTTACTTGCGACATAGTCTGAATACCAACGCTCAGAGTTTCATGCATTCCTTGTGATGTAATTTGTGTCATTGGGCCATGTTGTTGCACATCATGAGATCTTTAGGGTACAATTCACTAGTATACATGGATACATCTTATTGTCTACCAAGTCAACTTGGTCATTTCTTATTGTCTATATCCATAGTAGCCTATAGTATCTTATTGTCTACCAAGCCAACTTGGTCATTTCTCTTTGCAACATTTCACTAGTATACATGGGTACATCTTTTTTCGTCTCTATGAGAATAACACTACATGCCTAACATGTACCAAAAAAAAAAAAAAAATCTAGAAAAATATTTCATAAACAGTGTCGCGGAATGTTCATAAAAAAATTCTTTTAAAACAATAATGTTATGAGCAACCTAGTGAAAAAAATAAATAATATGATTTCAAATAAAAATAAAAACAATGTTCTGATTTATCCCAAGGATGGCTAAAACAGACATGAATGCAACTGAGCTAATTCTCGTTCCATGGCCTTGATTGTGACCACATCATCTGTATAGAGATATATTACCTTTACCTAAAAAAATAAGAGTAGCACGTGGACTCATTAAGGTACTCCCTAGGCCTGACTATGGATAAATGCATGCCCACCGTCTAAAATTCGAAAAAGAAAGAAAAAAAGAGAGTACATGAATAATAACGTGGATGTAAGTATTCGTATATTGCATAACTAGAGAAGTAATCTATAATCGTATGGACATACAATACACATGAGATCAGTTTTATAAGAATTAATAGTTTCATAAACAACGTGACGACGAACGTACAGATTCATGATATTTCAATCATACCTATATAACATTGAAGGAAGAAAAGTGGAGTTGGAATGTTTTAGGGGAAAAAAAGAAAGAAGTGGGTGACAAGGTGGGGCCTGGCGATTGAAGGGCGGGGGGAAGAGGACAGTGAATAAATGATGGAATTAATGGGCGCGTTCCTGAGATGAATCAACGACCCTCTTCTCCACTCCCACTTCTTGCACCTTTCCTAACTTTTCAACATAAATTCTTATAACTTAATTTTTTATATTTTAAAAAAAATTTATACGAATAGAGATAGTATCACTTATTTATATACCAATTGGAGTAAGGAGTAATAATGAAAAGGAGGGGGCAGAATTGCAGGTGGTGGTGGGGATTTGGCGATGGCATGCATTAGGGTCAGCTTGACCAATCTTTGACCTGCCTAACTTAATTTCCTGCTGCACAAACACACACATACTACACGGGGGACCACCTCCCCCTCCCCCCTCTTCCTTAACCATTTTAACGTGTTGTTAGACGAAGTTGGTTTGGAACATATCATTTCAACTTTAGAGTACATACCAAAACACAGACAGGAAAATGCCAAAATGTATTTGTTCTTTTTTTTCTTTATAAAAATAAAAATGTAAGTAATAAAGGAAGGAAGATGTATAACAGTCTTTAAGTTTTGAAGGGAAGGAGAGAGATGCTTCCCTCTTTGCCACTGTTAGTTCTACCACTTGCTGTCTTTTCATTTACATCTCTGCAACTTTCCTATCCTCCTCTCTTCCTTTTTTTTTTTTTTCTTTTACAAAATATATTTTTATTTGCATAATATTATATAATTATTTAATTAATTCATTAAGAAAAGAAAGGGGGACACGTGGAGAAGGCTGTCATAGTCACGTGGATGGAGGGAAGACCAGTCAAAGGAAGGCAACAATGAATGAATGAGAGAGAGTAGAGTAGAGTAGAGTAGAGTAGAGTAGAGTAGAGGGAAAGCTATGAGGTGTGTGGTGCAAAAAATTAAAAAAGAAAAATGGTAGTATTCAAATCACAACAGTTGTTCCTCAATATTTGTTTGCTGTTTTTTGTCCCCTGGTTATTGCCTTTTCCTTTTTCTTTTTCTTTTTTAATATTTTCAAAACTCTTCCTTCTATTTAATGCTCTTTATTATGTCCTTTACCCATTTCAAATCTCCCACTATTTCCACTTCAAAGTTATAATTCTTCTCTTTTTAAACCTATTTATCTTACATTATCTTCCACATCCTCCTTCAAACCATCTTCTTCCACTAAATATTACTAACAATTTTATTCAAAAATAATATCTTTATATTTAAATGATTTAAAAGCGATAAGAATCGATTTAAGAAATTTTTTTCGAACGAATTACTTTGATGATTAAGATCAAGAGTAAAAAAAACTCGTTTTTAAATTTGTGACTCTAATTAGTCTACAAGATCGTTTCATCAAGATTACCTTGAATTACTCTAACATGCAAATCTAAATAAAAGAAATATAAATGAATGAGATCTCCTAGCTTAAAAAAGCATCATATGCAACTTTCATTTTAATGTCCAAAGCAACTACATAAATGATTATTTATAATCTTGAAAATAAACCTTATAGTAACCTAGGACTGATTGAAAGGTTGTAAGTTTATGGCCATCAATACCATAATGAACCTAGTTTGAATGTAATTTATAATCTTTAAAGAGAATTCTCTATAACTTCTTCTTCTCACCCAGCTTGCCTAGTTCTCTTGTTCAAGAGTGAAACCAAGTAAAGATTGAATATGCGAGTGAAGGAACCGAAGAATGAAGTCCAATGGAAAAAAAAAAAATACAGTAAAACCTCCTTAAATCTAAACAACATATATGGATCTTGTCATCCACCCTGAAATGTTTGTGGCATGATTAAGAGACCTTAAGGAAAAAATCTATTGGCAAGGATCATGGTGTTCCAAATGTTTCGACTCAACCTATTACATGATTCAAGGCTAAGAAGATTCAACCAAGATTCATTCTTAATCTACAAAATTGGATAGACTTGGTTTAACGTCTCTTTTATGTGTTACAAGCTGATTCAATTGAGAAAAGACTATTTTGGAGTTTTGTAAGTGAATATTCGCACGGTTGAAGTAAGTATCGAGTTGCTATAAATAATATTTGATTGATAATTAATTTTGCGAACTTTATTTATTATTTTCTTTCATAATTTGTTGCAGTGGAAAGGTTGACAAGTCACTTGTCAAAATGATAATAACTTCTCTTTTATTAGACATTTAAAGGTAGTGGAGAATAACTTACTAATCATCATCACTAACTTTTGAGTGGGCGTAGTGTTGAAACATTTTTTCTTTTGGAGAGACCATAAATACCTACACTGAAATATTTGTTTAGAGACCCTAAATACTCACAAATAGTATGTAACGCATATATTTTTACAAAAGAAATTAAGCTCTCTAGTTAGACCTTCATCCTTAGAAATTTCAACATTATTTTTGTCATTGGTAAGTTTTAAGCAATTTTTTTTTTGGGTAGTTTGAGTCCGAGTCATTCAATAAACTCTTGATCAAGTTCGATGGTGGACTAATTCAATTTAGAACAAGGTCCTAAATCTTACTTCTAGATCGTTGATGTAAAGAAATAATGTAATTCTAGTTTATCTCTTGGTTAATCCGAATTTTGTAGAAAGAGATGTTAATTTCTTTGAATCCATAGTTCTTGTTTTAACAAAAATTTGGATCGTTAGACTGAGTATTAGAATTATCTTATCACCTATGGTATTGTCAAGACATTTTTTTTTTCCTCTTGTAATTTAAAATTGAAATTGTTGCGTGCATATTGAAATTATGCTAATGATGGAATGTAATATTAGTAGATGGAGTTAAAACCTTCAATGTTACGAAATATAATGTGTATATTCCTTAAGAGCTTTGTTTATAAATGCAACAACATCATGAACTTGGGCGTGAAGAACTTTTTGATCATACGGATCTCTTTAAACACAAGTCACAACTCGCACACACCAAAGAGCACACCTACAAGTCCATACGCACGCCCATGCTTGCCCACCGCCCACTTACACAAGCCCATCAGCGCCTGACGTCTGCCCATCTGCGTATGCAACAGCCCAGCCCCGTTCTCATGGGCATGTGTTTGTGGGTGAGAGGATGGGCCGGACCGCCTGGGGGTCTAGTGTGCACGGTTGTCCTTGTCTTCTTGTCCTTCATGCTTCGGGTGAGAAGTGCTCTTGGATTTGGCTTAGCTTCCAGTAGACATCATATATATTTTTTTAAATAACAATGTTTACAAACTTGACTTGGACCTTAATCATTCATTTCCTAATTTCCAGATTTTGAATTTTAAATCGTGACAATGATATTTGTGACATTTCTCAAAAGCGACCGACCCCAATGTGAAGACAACCCGATTAAGTTGGACGTTTCGATGGGCGTAATACAATACCATTCAAAGCGTTCGACGTTACACTCTCTCCATCTCTTTCTTGGGCTGCACCATCATATACCATGGTGCGTTGCTCGAAATCTAGTCCCGACCCTCTTCTCTGTATTGTTTTTTTTGAAGATTTTTTCAATTTGTTGTTCGATCTTGTCCTATTCTTGCATATGATGCGATCTTAGCGACCTTGAGGCCATGTTTGTTTATTATAATCTTCGGACTGTGTTGCATTCTCTGCTAGATTAGGTCAATTGTATGAGTTTTTGATATTTGGAACTTAGGTATAAATCTTTGATTTTGTTAGGAAATGAAAATTTGAGCGACTGCTTCTTTTGCCAACTCCTTCGATTTATGCTGTAAATTGGGTTTGATTATTATGTCTCGTTTCTTTTGGTTTAAATTTGCAATCGCCATTGTAGGCAAGCTTATACAGAGGTGTTTCTAGGAAGGAAAAGCCTAAAGGACGTCATGGGTTAAATCCCCAAAAGAAGCAGGAGATTAAGGAAGCTTTTGAGTTATTTGATACTGATGGCTCTGGTGAGCAAATTGTTGCTTGTTACTGTTTTTTTGTTCGTGTATATGGATCAGTACTCAGTTGTATGTCTATTACTTTTGGGTAGGGACTATTGATGCCAAAGAGCTTAATGTGGCAATGAGGTAAGAATATATTACAATGGATCATGATACGACAGCTAAAAGATGATGAAATTTTAGGTGATTTATCTTTTGTGACAGGGCTCTTGGATTTGAGATGACTGAAGAGGTAACACCATGTCTTTAGGCCTATTAAAGTTATAAAGTCTGTTGGCACTTGTGCATTTTCCATTTCGTTGCATGTCTACCATTAGATAAGTTTTTTTTCAGAAATCATCAGTTTATTCATCTGTAGAACCCACCTTGATTCTTAACATTTTGGACAGATCTTTTATATCGTCACAATAAGATTAATTTAAAATAGCTAATTCCTTTTTCCCTGTTATTGAGAATGTAAGCAGTAAGGGCGTAATGGTGGTGCTATGTCCTTCAGGGTGAATTGCCTGTTTATTTTTTAGAACGAGAACCTTGAGTTTCTTATTTTCTGCTATTAAGCCTTCGAAAGGATGGTTTTTATGTTTTGGAGAAGGCTTTTTTGGTAGGATATCAAATTTTCATAATGAAAAGGAAAGAATGAAGGACATACAAAAAACAAGTCCAAAAGATACAGGAGTCTGATATATACTAACTACAAAAAAGGACTCCAAGAAAAAAAAAAAAAAAAAAAAAACTAAAACTAAAGAGATAAAGACAACACTAAATAGTTGAAATAAATGCATCCCAAGTTTGATAAATATCGTGCTAAGTACGGAAAGAAAATTATCCTAAAAAGATGAAGTTCTTCCTTTGGAAAATAGTGCGTAAAACCATATTAGCACAAGAGAAAATCTTAAAAGAAGGATGCCCTACATAACTCTATTTCCAAATTGGTGTCCATTATGTCAGAAAGGAAACGAATCACAGAACCACTTATTTATGCAATGCACATACATTATGAATTTCTAAACTACGATTCTCAATATATTTGAATGGCATCTCACATTAACTTGGGAGGTAAAGGATCTATTGGACATCACCTTAATGTACCATCCCTTCAAGAATGTAAAAGTCCTACTATGGAAAAGCCTCATCATGGTTTTCGTTTGGAACCTATGGAGAGAAAGAAATGAAAGACAAAATATTCACGGAAAGGACACAAACTTATACAAAACTCTTCGACAATGATGTTTACCAAGCTATATCTTAGTGTAACTGTCTAATATTTTTACTTCATATAGCTATACCTCCATTGTAAATTGCAAAGTTCTTTTGTAAACATCATGGGTATTACATCCATTTTGTAAATTTGAATCATCAATGAAATTGTTGCTTTAAAAAAAAAAAAAAAAAAAAAAAAAAAAAAAAAAAAAAAAAAAAAAA